AAAAAAATCTCCTACCATTTCACCCCTCTTCCTTCTCCAGGTCGGGTCCCGGTTAAGACCTTCACTCGTCAGGTAAACCGTAACAGGTCGAAACAGGACCGCAGGCACCGGGCTTGGCAGCTCCGCCGGCAGCACCAGGAGGCTGTGAGTTGTTGGCAGCAGCAGAGAGCAGGGAAGCTAAATCTGGGCCGCTTGCTCGGAGAGAGGAGGAGCCTCACCTACCTTGGTTTTCTCTGTCTGCAGGTGTTGGAGGAAAAGCGGAATTTGGGACGCAAGGATGGGCCACCACACCTGATGGTCCTGGTGCCGCTGCATGCCCAAATTGATCCCCAGGCGGCCTTGAGCCTTTTCCGGAGTAATCAGGATTCGGTTGTGTTCCCAGCAAAGGGGGGGCCACCTGGCTTTGCCCTGCTGTGCCCCCGGTCCAAGCTGCGCTGGCGTTTTGTAGTGGCTGATGCAGGTGAGGGCCTCATTTTTCAGAAGTATCTTGGCAGCTTCTATACCTACAAAATAGTTCTGCGGTCTTTCCTGCATTTTCCTGGGGTATTTCAGAGAGTTGTAAGATCCATAATTCTTTTTTTTATTTTTATTTTATTTTAAACACACAAATACAAAAACAGATATTTACAAATACAAAGACATTTATACAACACACTGGAACTTCATGTTCCTTCTTATAGCAGTTTTAGATCGGTACGTATTTATACAATATTTCCCTCCTAATACCTTACCATCGAGTTTCACCATTTTTAACCCTCTTATTTCATTATCATTTACTTATTTACCTATATTACCACAAACAAACTTTATCCCTCTTTTATGTATATAACATTTATCCTTTATTTGTAATTTTTATCTTTCTTAGGTACTTATCGTTAATCTTTGTTTCTTTCCTCCAGCCACCTGTACCATTTCTCCCATACCAAAGAATATTCTGTCTCTTCCTTTTCTTGGATTTCTTTTGTTAACTTGTCCATCTCAGCATAGTCAAGAATCTTTCTTGTTATTTCATCTTTACTTGGTGTTGACTTATTCTTCCATCTCTGTGCAAATGCAATCCTAGCCGCTGTAATTATATCTAAAATCAGATGTAGGGTCTCTCTTATATTTAGTTGTCGTCATATCTAATAGGAATGTCTCGGGTTTCCAATCAATTTGACTTGCTGTTACAGGTTCCAGCTTTTAACTTTTTTCCAATATTTTTTGGCCACCTTGCAAGTCCACCATATATGATAGCATGTTCCATATATCTTCCATAATTCCATAATTCTTATTCTCCAGGAAGCCTCCATGCAGTGCTGGATCTTGCCAAAGTGGCCGATACGCTCCTCTTCCTGCTGGATGCTGCAGATGGTTGGGATGCTGTTGGCGATCACTGCCTCTCCTGCATCTTTGCACAGGGTCTCCCCAGCTATGGTGAGTCTAGTGCCCAATGCAGCCTGTTTTTCCATTCATCCAGTAAGGCTACAATTCTTGCTGTAAAGCTGCCTTGTCATCTTGTAGGACTTGGGAGCTATGCTTGGTTTTTTATAACTAACCCAACTATGAAATATCTGTTCCCTGACACTAAATTTGGCTCTTTGATTTTTAAATGAGTTTGCTTCCCCTGATGCTCTGTAGTTGTTGTTACTGCTTTGTTGTTACTCTTTTCTCATTATACTGTGCCATGTGACACAGTAGTTAGAATGCAGTACTGCAGGCTCCTTCTGCTGACTGCCTGCAGTTTGGCAATTTGATCCTCACCGGCTCAAGGTTGGCTCAGTCTTCCATCCTTCTGAGGTCAGTAAAATGAGGACCCAGATTGTTGCGGTCATTGAGTGGACTCTATAGACCCCTTCAGAGTGTTCTGGCTGATATCTGCAAAACTCGGCAAGGAGTCTCGCAGAGTCACAAACCAATTAAGCAAACTAATTGTCTCCTGCAAACTCCACTCCCCTTTCGCTCCTCTTTTATTTCCTCTGGGAGGGGCCATTCACCATCCACCTGTGGCCTTACTCCCTTACTCAACCCCTGTTCTTTAGCTCTTCCCTTCGTCTGGCAGTTCTGGGAACAGGCTCCAGCTGTTCATCTGCCTCCGGGCAGCTGATAACTGGCATATGGCCCTGGCCCCCTTTCTGCCTCTGACACAGAGCCCTCATCAGTGCCTTCCCCAGACTCCAGGACTGGCCCACCTTCCTCCCCAACCTCTTCACTGTCTGAATCTGCTGGCGGGCCATAACAGAGAGGGCTGTGAAGCGGTATCTAAGTCTAAGTGCAACTGCCTCGGTGATGATCCAGAGGAAAAGGCCGACTTTTCCAGCTGTCCTTAGTTAAGCCAGCCTTTCTTTTGTTCCCCGCAGGCCTTGCTGTTCAGGGTCTGGCTGAGCAGCCACCAAAGAAGCAAACTGATTCCCGGAAAAAGCTCAGCAAGATTACGGAGAAGCGGTTTCCTGGGGCCAGGCTTTTTTCTCTCGACACCGAGCAGGAATCTGCGCTGCTGCTGCAGCATCTGGCGAGCCAGAAGCAGCAGCACTTGGCATTCCGAGACCGGCGGGCTCACCTGCTGGCTTATGCTGCCGAATTTGTGCCCAGCTCTGACAGTGCCATGGTGGGGACCTTAATGGTGTCTGGCTATGTGAGGGGAAGAAGCTTGAACGTCAACTCCCTGGTGCACCTTGTTGGGCATGGAGACTTCCAGATGAATCAAATGGACGCTCCCCCAGACCTCTTTGCCCTGAGCCCAAAGTGTC